TTTTTTTTTATCGAAACGGTAGAGGTATTATAATCTCAGAAAGCGAACAATGTTCGAATACATCGACATAGACAAAGACACAAAGCCTGAATAAAAGACTTGGAGGACACGCATACAAGCGGCCTAGAACTCAAACAGTCAAAACAATGTACATTCGAAGAAATCCATATTAACCACTGCATCAACTGCCTAGCAATATAGCTAACTTCACTACTAAGACTAAAAGACCAAAAAAACAAACAAACAACAAAGCAACTAAAAACAGAAAACTACATCAAGTCTGCAGATTGGAAAATTCAAGCCATTCTCTTTGAGCCATCTTGATCACAACCGGGATAGGCATAAGTGTCTTCTCGAATAGCCAAAGGTTACGAGATTTCCAGAGCCACCATAATAGATATGTAGATAGCTGAATTCTGTCCTCGGCAACTAGATTTGTATCTATTGAGCAAATATCCCACCACCAAGCCTTGAAGGAACAATTCTCCATGCTAGCCATATCCCAGTTTATAGGTCCTGTTTTCCACAGTGTTTGAGCCCTTTGACAGAGAAACAGCACATGCTCAATGGTCTCTGGTACTTCACCACAGCAAGGACATAAAGGATCCACCTGAAGCCCTTTCTTATGCAGATTTGTACATACTGGCAGCAACCCAGAGTAGCACCTCCATATGAACTGCTTAATAGTGCCTTTAACCTTCAAACCCCATCCTCTAAGTCTTGCTGCTTTACTTGCTGATATGTCCATGCTAGTGCCAGGGATATCAAGTAACAGTAACTGCTGCTTGATAAGATATGAATAGGTAGAGGAGACAGAGAACTGACCTTTCTTGTCTAGAGCCCAATAAAATCTGTCATTCTGTCTTGGGTTGAGGGTTTGTATTTTGAGAATTGCTTGGCTTTCTGCTGGGCTAAATAGTTGTTGTACCAGCCATGTGTTCCACCCTGACCCATTGTCCAGCATAAGCTCCTTCACCCAGGTGATGTGTCCTCTAGCAATGTTCAGCAAATTTTGTCTTTGTGCTTGGAGAGAAGGAATCCAGTTGAAGTCTTCGATTTTAGTGTGGGCACCATTTCTAATCTCTGTCCTCAATCCTTTTGCAAGAATTGGTAAGCAATCTATCCAGGTGTGCCAAAGCCAAGAGCCTTTTTGTGTTTCAGTCACATCAAAAATACTGCAGTCAGGAAAGTATCTAGCCTTCAACACCTTTGAGATGAGAAGATCAGGTTCAGTAACCAGCCTCCATAACTGTTTGCAGATAAAAGCTTGACTGAAGAGTCTCACTGTCTTGAATCCCATTCCACCATCTGCCTTAGGAAGTGTAATATATTTCCAGGCCTTCCAATGAATACCTTTCTCTTGTATTTCCCCTTTACTCCACCAGAACTGAGCACTAAGACTAGAGATAGCTTTGCAGATGGAGATAGGCAACTGAAAGCAAGACATTGTAAACACTGGAAGGGAATCAATGACAGCTTTAATAAGAACTTCTTTCCCTGCTGTAGTTAACATCTTGTTTTTCCAGCTCCCCAGTTTTGCTTTGACTGATTCAAGAACATAAGAGAAGGTTTCCTTTTTTGATTTCCCAATACCAAGTGGCAGTCCAAGATATCTAGTGGATGAGTGGATTTGAATACCTTGCAAAGTAGAACAGATTTGAGTTTGAAGGGTAGGAGAAGAGTTTCTGCTGAAAAATATAGAAGATTTCTGCAGATTCACCCTCTGACCAGTGAATAACCTGTATCTTTCAAGTAAGCTCATCAATACCATGGCCTGATTGGTTTCAGCTTTGCAAAAGAAAAGTGCATCATCAGCAAAAAGAAGATGGGATAATGTTGGGCCATTCTGAGACAGTTTCAGGCCAATTAACTCTGAATTTGCATAGCATCAGTAATGAGAGCTGAAAGTAACTCAGTGACTATGATGAACAGGTAGGGGGACAGAGGGTCCCCCTGCCTAATGCCTCTGGAAGGGTAGATAGTCCCACTGAGAGAGCCATTAATGCAAAATGAGAATGAAGTTGTAGATACACACACCATCAGCAATTTCACAAAATTAGGGCTAAATCCCATTTGCAGCATAATCTTTTCCAGGAAAATCCATTCTACCCTGTCGAATGCTTTCATCAAATCAAGTTTTAAAGCCATAAAACAGTTCCTTCCTGATCTGTGCCAGTTTAAAAAGTGAAAAGCTTCTTGGGCAAGCACTACATTGTCCAGTAGTTGCCTGCCCTGAATAAAAGCAGATTGACAAGTACTGATGCAGGAGGTTAGACACTTTTTCAGTCTCAAAGCAAGCAGTTTGGACAGAATTTTATAGACAACACTACCTAAAGCAATAGGCCTGTAATGATTTAAAGCACTGGGGTTACTACACTTAGGCACCAAAGTCACTAAAGTATGGTTCCAATATTGCAGCAGAAGTCCAGAATCAGAAAAACTTTGAACAGCTTCAATTACATCAGAGTGCACAATGTTCCAGAAATGTTGATAAAAAAATGGAGTCATACCGTCTACCCCTGGAGATTTATGTGGGCTTAAGCTGAATAAAGCAGCTCTGATTTCCTCAGCTTCAAAGGGTCTGAGAAGCTCCAGGTTCATATCAGAAATAGAGTTTGGAATCAGATGAAGCATAGTATCTCCACCCCAAGAGCCCTCTGATGTGAAAAGAGTAGAGAAATAACTAGTGATGTGCTCCTCAATCTCATTTGAAGTAGAAAGAAGATAGCCCCTGTCTGAAATGAGCCTTGTAATGGCATTTTGCCTTCTTCTGTGGATAGTATATGCATGGAAGAATTTAGAGTTTGTGTCACCCTCCTTAAGCCATTTGTGTCTGGCTTTTTGTTGCCAAAAGTTTTCCTCAAAGGTGTGAGCTTGTTCAAGAGCAATATGATTGGCTGTCCAGTCCTCCCAATTATCCCCAATTCCAGAAGTTCTTAGTTCCTCCATTTTCTTAGAGAGCTTAGAAATTTTAGTCTGGTTTTGAGATTTGAACTGTGAGCTCCAGATTAATAAAGCCATTCTAGTACATTTCACCTTCTCCTTCAGCCGATAAAAAAGAGTACCCGAGTGAGAAGAACTCCATGCTTTTTGAACCACCTCTAAGACATCCTCTCTCTCTGTCCACCTTCTATCGAAGAGAAACCTTCTTTTCTGCCTGCAAGGTTGGGACCCTGAGTTGAGAAGAATTAAAGCATGGTCTGAGGCACTTCTTGCAATGTTGATGACCGAAGCATTAGGATTACTGAGTAGCCATTCTGAAGAGCCAAAAGCTTTGTCAAGCTTTTCTTCAACAAATCCTTCAGCTTCCCGGTTGTTACCCCAAGTAAACTGATATCCCTTCATGATAATCTTATCCATTTCCATGTTGTCAATGAAAGTATTGAAAGCCTCAAAACTGCGAGCAGACCTTACCCTTCCTCCTTTCTTATCGTCCATAGAACACAGATCGTTCCAGTCACCTATCAAGAACCATGTGTCTCCCCAAGAAAGCCTATCAGCCTCTAACTCCATCCATTGGAAAACCCTGGTAGTTCTATCTGTGCTCATGTATACAAACACTCCCCAACCTTGCTCAATATTGTTCACTTTGAAATTTGCTGCAATATAGAACTCTTTGGTTACTATAGAGATAATCTCCACATCCGCTTGCCAAAATAGAACTAAGCCACCACTTAGCCCACGAGGGTCAACTATAGCCAGCCTATCATCATAGCCCAATTTTCTACTAATAGTATGTACATAGGAACTAGATTTCTTTGTTTCTGAAAGAAAGAAAAAGTTTGGATGGTGAGACCTCTTGGTCTCTTTGATTTGGGAAATTGTAGAGGGCCCACCCAGCCCTCTACAATTCCACACCGCAGCTAACATTTATCAGTTGGGTGCCACTCTAGGCTGGCATCCCCCACCTTGTCCAAAACAACTCTGATTTTTTTCCCAGAAGCTTGAACCATCAGTTTTCCTTCACTTTCTGCCCCTTGAGTAACTTGATCTGATCTTCCTCTCTTGCTACCTTTGGTTGGTTCAACAATGATGATGGGAGAGGAACTTCTTTGCAGTCTACCTTCCTTCTGGGATGACCTCTTCCATCTTTTAGCTTTAATGATGGAGGATTCAGGCAGACAATCATTGGAATTTTGATTTTGGCTCACAATTAGAGGGAGAGCATTAGGGTCTATCTCCATCATCTTAGAGACTTCTTGAAGTGCCTGAGGAGGGACTGCTGTTTGAGTAGGAGGGATGGGGTTGGGTTGGACTGACTTGGCATTGAGTGCCAGAGATGTAGGAGTATTAAAATCTTTAGGTGAGTTGGAATCAACCATGGCTTGTTGAGAGTTGGAGGCATGTTGGGTGTCCTCTGAAGGAACTGGGATGATTTGTTGCTGATTTTCTGGTTTGTGGGTAGAGAGAGGAGTAGACCTGTTTGAGGAAGGGGGAGATTTGTTGCCATATGAATGTTGTCTGGAGTTAGAGGTGCTGATTTCTGTCCAGGTCTGACCATCTGTGGCTTTAATCCATTCTCCGTATTGGCCTTGCTTTAATGAGTTCAGTCTAATGTCTGCAAGCCTTTTGGTACAGTTGCGGTCCAAGTGCCCAATGAAGCCACAATAAAAGCAGAGATTAACAAGCTTTTCGTATTTAAAACATACACTGACTACTTGGTCCCCAAGACGAATGTGAGCACATCTGGGAATAGGCTCATTCAGATTCAGTGAGACTAACAGACGAAGGAAACGCCCTCTATGATTTCCAGCACTGACCACGACCACATTATTAACTGATTTAAACACTTTTCCAATCTTTAAACCAACTTCCGCACTTAACCAGTCAAGAGGTACGTTCATCACCTGCACCCAGATTTTAACTTCTTGGAATCCCTGGTGTTTACTAGTTAAGCCTTTTTGCCATTCCTGGAGGACTAAGAACTGGTTTTCGAAGCTCCAATTGGTTCCTGCTGCCACTTTCCTTTGATCCTCTTTGGAATGAAATATAAACTGGAAAAAATTATGACCCAACTCCTTAACCTCCATCTGGTGTTGTAACCTCCATATGGATGTCATGGTACGTTTAATGCCAATCCAGCTCGTTGTACGGTCGCCAATGATTTTGCCAAAGAGACTGCGGTCACATTCGTCGGCACTGAATTTAATATCAACATCTTCTATATCAATCAACGAGCTCTCTTTCTCCGAAAATGAGAAATCCTTAAGTCTGTCTGCCAACTCTTCATCGCATCCAGCTCTAGGTGTTTGAGCCATCTATACCCAGAGAATTAAAAGGCGAGTCGAAAGAGAATGCGAGGAATGGAAAGTACGCTCCCAATTGAGAGAAGAAGAAGAAATTGATCTCAGACGAGATAATCGCCCAAGAACCCTATGCTCCCAAACGAGAGAATTACCAAAATTTCGTTGCTTTTATGAATTCATATTATGTTAATTAAGACAAACTAATAATTAGAAATATACAAAAAATTGTTGCAACTTTCATTTTTTATTTGGAAATATAAAGTACATAATGATTAATGGTTTTTCTTTCACTTCTTTGCAGGCCAAATTTACAATTAAAGGAGCTGAAATATTTTATTTTTTAAATTATGTTTATTAGATAGGATTAATGTATATTTTGGTATGTAATTTTTTTGTGAATTAATTATTATTTCTTTAGGAATTTCAAATACGTTTTTTATTTTTCAAAAAAAGTTAATTTAAATGTAACCACAATAATAACATCTAATCACATTATACGGTCAACGCATTATATGGTCAACTGTCAATATCAAAAGTTTAAAATGATTTTTTTAATTTTGAAGTTATAAGTGTGTTGAATATCTAATAATTAAATAAAAGGTTAAATAAATCAGAAGTAACGGTTTTTGGAGGGAAATGATTAGATTACCACATACGTAAAATTTAATAGGTTTTATTAAATGCTATTAGCCAGTAATTATATATATAGATTTATATTCAGATGTAATTATCGATTTTGGTAAAAAAAATAGGAAATGATATGAAAAAAATGAGATTCGGATTTTGGCATTCGAATCTCCAAATTTGTTACCAAAATAATAGAATTAAAATTTGGTTACTAATGATTTACATGTGTTTCTTTTTTCCACTAATAGTAAGTCAAACATTAAATTGTTTTGGTCAAACTTTCAATTAACGCATTTTTTCCAACAACCTCTTTATATAGATTTAGATATAGATTTCATAAATGACGTGAACGTGACCCAATAAACTAGAGCGATGACTTAATTCAATAAATCCATCTAACACCAATATTATTTTTCTTAAATATGTTTAATTTTGGAAAAGAAAAATAATTTGTAATTCATGTAGTAACTGTTTACAACAAAAGACAATATATTCAAATTATAAATTATAAGAATAAAGAAAAAGTAATTATTTATTAACTGATTCAATTTGTTGGGATTCTGTAATAAATTACATCAGAATTACAACAGACACCTAAAAAACTCATTTAGCAACAGAAAAATATGTTGTTATATTTGTCAACCAAAATACTTATATTATTGATGGAGTTTTGCGTTGGTATTTCCCAATAAAAAACTTGATTACCAATAGATGTAATATGTTTCATTTCCCAACGAACTTGAAATAAATTTGGTCACCATTGTGTTACGAACTTGAAATTATGAATAATAAAAATTAGAGGTGCCTCTTATGTGTAAAGACATTTTAAAATTTTCAACATAGATAAAGTTAAAATTTAAAATAATATAACCGACACTAATAATAAGTGAAAAAGTTGTATGAAAGTTGAGGGGAGACTGCAACCGGATAGCCCAAGTTCCGGTGGGGGACCGATCCTTCCTGTAAAAAAGCTATGATCAAAACTACGAAGTATGCATGAGTACTTGAATTCCACGATTTTCAAGTTTTTTGATTTAGAATTTTTTTTTTTTTTTTTTTTTTTTANTCAATTGTCAAGCATTCAAGCTTACATTTTTAGCTCACAGAATAAATCTCTAGTCATACTGATCAACTTTGAACTGGTAAAGTTTCAACTAAAATGGGATATTCAACTGAAGAAAAAAAGCAGAAGTCTAACAAGACATTTGCATTTTCTATAAAGTAGAAAATGTGACTTCTTGCCTGAGAAGCTGTCCCGAAAAATAGGTAGCCGTCTTTGGAAGATCTTTTCCATTTATATTATTTTGTATTAAACTTCTCTATTTGCCGTACTTATGCTTAGAGATGTTAAACGGGCTAGCCCTAGCGGTTTCGGGATAAACGGTCCGGGCCTAAAAAGTCCGGATTTAGACGGGCTACCAATAAAAGGACCTAACCCTAAACCTAGCGGGTTTCGGACTAATCGGGCTACACGGGCTATAATAATAATAATAATAATAATAAATTACAACACCTAGTTAACGGTTTTTTTGAACGGCTATTTAGTAGTTACCGCTATATATATACAACTACACTTTATATATGAACACATTACAAACTCTTAAATAGTATTTTGTTTCTTAATAAAAAAAAAATGTTCGAACTATTACTTATAACTACTATTTGTTTAGTTATTTGGTACGCTTCGGAAATTTTGACAGTATAGCATACTGCTGAATTTATATTCTATCAATAAATTCTATGTGTTACGTTTTGTCTCATTTATTTTTTATTAGTCGTTCTGATTGGTTTAAATATTTTGCTGTGAAATAGAATAAAATTTGTTAATAATTATCTATCAAAATAATGATAATATATTATAACTCATAATTACATGTGAAGTAGAATAGCAAAATTGTAATATACAAGGAATCATGGGACATATTCCTTACCTTTCTTAAAATATATACACCACCCAACCCAAGTTAAACGGGCTAGCCCTAGCGGTTTTCGGGCTAGCCCTAGCGGGCTTCGGGCTAAACAGTCCGGGCCAAAAAAGCCCAGACTAATAAAAAGCCCTAACCCTGTTTTTTTTCGGGCTACACGAAACAATATTTTTGATCATATCTAATTTGATCTTATTTGAAAAAGTGTATATAGTAGTAATTAATGCATATATTTAATATATTTAAAAAGTTTCCAAAAAAGGGTATGCATTAAATGCTCCCAAAGTTTTTGCTACTATTTTTAGTAAATGGTTATTCTTATTATATATATATATTTATATATGTATATATATATATATAGATATAGATATAGATATTAAATATGTTAAAAAAATAAATTTCTAAATTAATATTGAAGATAAAGCAATAATCTATCTTTTTATAAATCCACACATTTGAAATTTCAAATAAAATAGATTAAATTTTTAACTTGTGAAAAGAAAGGAATCCCTTCAAAATCTCGTACATAATAGGTATATACCAACATTATGCAATCTGATATCATGTTAAAAAAAAAAAAAAAAAAAAAAATCTTATCAACGTGATGCAATCCGATATCATGTTTAAAAACAAATCCTAAATTAATATTGTATAGCATTTACTTTAGGAACTAATTATATCGTAATAACGTGATGCAATCCGCAACCCGATATCGTGTTAAAAAAATCCTAAATTACTGTATTGTTAATCCAACATTTTAGGAACTAATTACATGCTGATTAGAATTATATATGCAAAATTTTAAGACGTTTTAAATGCTCCGTCTGTTAATTTAAACGCTCCTTTTTCTGTATATAAAAAAAATATCCTAATATAGTATGCACTAAATGTTGTCTCAAAATTTTTAGTTACTATATTTAGTAAATAGTAATTCTTATTATATATATATAAATTTACATAGCATCAATTTTAAGCTTTGTATTCACATTCTTCTCAAAAATTCATCACTTTCTTTTCACTAATTCCTTAGTGACAAGAAGATGAAAGTACATTGAACTACAGGATTTATTTGCAGGCAACATAATAATTATACAAAGAGGTCGCACATTTGATAATCATGCACATGCCACACAACATCAAAACACGTATTCTACGTACTATTTATGGCACCTCCAACTTTACTTTTTAACTGACAATATTGATCTCATCAATTCTGATTTTTGTAAAATTTTATGCAATCCTAATTCAAAAGTCCGAATACTTACATGATCAAATGCTTTCTCATTCTCTCCAGTTGCAGTACGCGAAGTAAATCACCAAACAGGAAGCCAATAAGGTTAGTTTCAAACTCAGATGCCCAGCACTTCCATTGAGACTTAATATTATTCAGAATCACCACGAAAGTTAGCGCCCCAAAAGCAAATCTTAAAACACCAAATGCTTCTGATAAATTATTACAAAGCCAGAGTATACACCGTCCCTATGTGTGTACATACACAATCAATATAATCATATCTTCAAAGCCCATTCGACGGCCTGTATGCCGTGTGATAACCATTGATCCCGACACTAACGTTCGAATACTCTGTTACACGATACGGATATTCACCACCGTCACTTCCCATAATATTTGCACTCACAAAACCACCACCGCCCATCTGCCACTGGCCTGGAACAAAGCCATCGAGCAAATAGGGCCTTGGGAAGCTGTAATGTCTGTTGAGGTAGTGGGGCCCACCTCCAAAGCTCCTCCTCTCATAGCCTGAGCTGTTCCCGATGCATTGCTCGTCGTCAAGCAGGTCGTTTATAATGTCCAGATGAGGAAACTCATCTGGCATCACGTGGGCCTGGGCCTGGCCCGCAGGCCCATTTGGGCCCGTAATGTAACCCAAAGAGTGGTTGGGTTCGGCCCGTTGTTGGAAAAGCTGGGATTGGGAAGGCGCGTGTGAGTACGAGTTCACGATGGAAGTAGTAGCACAAGGGTTTTGGGAATATGTGGTGGGCCCACTGATAATTGCATTTCGGTAGCTTACAGAACGAGCCAAAACAGGTGAAGTTTGGACCACAGAGACAGAAGGCCGAGCACTGAGGGGTGCTTCTTGCGTTGGAAGCTTCACAACGGCAGGTTTTGGAGTTGTAAATTTATGAGGGTTGCTAGTTTCTGAAGTGGTGTTATGAGCTGGTTTAGTGATGTCTGCCTTGGTGTCTGGATTTAGACGAGAGATTAATGGGGTGATTTTTGAAGGGCTTCTGGATGGGGACGTTACGCGTGCTGCACTTTTGCTGCATGAATTTGTATCGCTTGTTGGGCTTTTGCAGCTCAGATTTCTCTGAAATGGTCGTGATTCGTCATCCTGTAGAGAAAATGAGGAAGAAATGATTTAATCTCATCCCCAACAAGAAACAGATTGTCTGGTCACGGTTAAAGATTGAAATTAGGTGAATCTGTAGTGAAGGACCACTTTTTCCCGAATAAGACAATAACTTTACTAGTTATTGAAGCGTAAAGTTTATGATAATTATTAAAAGTTCAGCAATTGAAAATCATGATAAAAATATTGCACGATTAAAACATGGGAGTTTAACCATAAATTTGAGAAAGAAGTTTGTCATCATATATCAAATAACATTCCCATCAGAAAACAAGCTCTTTTACAATTTAATCTCCATCCTGCACAAGTTACGAATTAAAAACATCACCTTTTTCCCCACTCTCTGCTGGACACCATTAGCCACCCTATCTGGCAGAGACTGAACTGGAGCCTGAGGACGAGTACTTTGGGATGCATCATTTGAGTGCCTTGCATCTAGCACAGGTTGACTAGGTTCTACATTACCCCAATCAGTTGATCCGGAATTTAACTTGCTTTTGTTGTTCCACCCCCTGGAAAGTTGAAACAAAAAATCTTTCACACTCTCATAATGTTGTTGAAAACCCAAAAAATAAAAAAATAAAAAAATAAAAAAAAAAAAAAAGAACGAAAAAGAAAAAGAACACAGGAAGTTGTCATATAACCAAATAACAACGCAAAACAATCTTTTTCTTTTAAAGTTAATCCTAAAAATTTTGTCAACAAGGTGCTACTCAATAGGAAAGTGTTTGTGAGCAAAGACAACCTCAAGTATGTACTTGTAATATATCTTAAGGAGGTATCATTTATTTTAGAAGACAAGTGATAATTAACCCCACCCCTCTTATAGCTAGGGGAGGTCCTCACAATTATCCAGGATAAGGGGAAAATGTTGACCTGCTTGGAGAGTTTTGGTTATTGTGGTAACTCAATTTCCAATTATGAGCTACACTCGCAACAGAAGAAGGAACCGAGTCAGAGGAACAAGTTGACGAGCTATCATCCACTACTGATGGACCTTTTCTTTTCATTCCATTTTGTACAACACCTGAAATCCCACTACTACCAGATTCCATTGGAGGTTGTACTTCAGAATTATCAGTATCCCAATTGACAGGACTCGCATCTCTGTCCTCTAACTCTTGTGGAGATAGTTCGGGAGCATAATCTGCAGAACCAGACACATCAGATACATCTTCAACAACCTTAGACTTATCGAGCACAATTTCTGGCACTGCAGCTAACTCTTTCATCTCATCACGATTATCTTCATCAATCTTGTCTTGCACAGTGCTCATGGTAGTCTTTTCATCCCGTCCCTTGTCTTTGCCTTTGCGATTATTTCGTTTAGGTTTGCCCTGAAAATTTATGACACACGGTGCATAAACTGTTTATTATTTATTTCAAATATTAAAAGGATTTGTAGATGATACACCAGCTTTAATTATCAACATCGAGCACCCTATCTCTAAACCAAAATCATTAATTTCAACAACCTAATAGACAACTAAAAATTCAGCATAAATTCCTAATGTGTTTATTCTCCTCATGAAGAACTAACGGCTTGGATATTTTCAAAATGTTTAACTATAACAGACCTGCTTTTTCTTGGACTTCTTTTCCTTATCCGCAACTCCACGCCTCGCTTTTTGTTCAAGATCTGCAAGCCAGGCTGCCTCCTCTTCACGAATGAGTTCTTCTTGCTTTTTTAATGCAACAGCCTCCTGGTACGCAACTTCAATTTTACTGTTATCATAAAAAAGGTGAAGCTTAGCAGTCAGAACATTAGAACAAACTAAATAACAGTGGTTGATCTTAAAGGTCTTAGCACAAATGTAAGAGACGAGAAGCAGGGGACAACAATACGTGAACACTACTTGGATCAGAAAGGAAAAAAGAAAAGAAAAGAAAAAAGGATAAGGATATGGAGAAAACAATCTACACAATTTGATTTCAACTTCAAATCGGATAATAAATGCTACAAAAGATAAATGTTAAGAAGTACCGACATATTTTCAGACAATAACAGAAGAAGCTTAAATGAAAAATAGAGAAATTTCATAAAGATAACTTCCACCTAAACAAGATGACTACATCAGCAGCCACACAGAACAATGAGCTCCAGACAAACATATCTCTCATCTTCTAGAAGATGCTCTACTAAATCTTACGCAGGATCTTTACCCAGCAAAAGGTGAACGAACAAAGAACACTTTAACTGGCATTTTGACTGCGTATGACAGAATGAAGATGCTTTCATAATTAGAATAAATTACCTGAAAATGTGCGCTAAGACAAATATCTCTATAGTCCTCCGACCCAATTCAGTAAGTCGTTTCTCATCACGCTCAATAGAATCTTTGTTGAAGTCCTCTCCAGCAGTCCCATCCTTGAAATAAAAATCCACAGAAATAAAAGCATGCTCATTTAATAAAATTGCCATTCAATGATTATTCAAAACAATAGTACCACGTCAAAGCCAAAGCGAAAGGCAGCGGATTCTCAATATAATATGCAACCAGCACCAAACTCCATGAGTAACAGAATCAGTAAGGCTATTGTATACGAAACAATCTCTATTATCAGAATAGCAATGGATTTCAATACAATATACAACCAGCACAAACTCTAAGCATGATGGCAGCAACAGATATCAATCCATTCACTTAAAATAGCAAAGTTATGGGTGCATCCTAGGAATAGAACAAAACTGAACTGAAAATCACTCACCTTTGTACGATTTTGAGGATCTTTCTCATCCTTCGGAGGCAAGGGTTCTACAGTAGCCCTCTCAAGAAGTAGCAACACATCATCTACCAAGGCAAATGTATCTTTCTCAAAGTGAACAATAGGAACAGATAATTCTTCTGCCTCTAAGTACTTCCCCTTGCTCTTCTTATTCTTACCCTTGTTCTGGGCTTCAAGGGCCTTCAAACCACTATACAGTGAATCCATGACAAGGGTAGATGTGACTTCTTTTTCTATGAAGAAATGCTTCACAACGACTTTTAAAATTGACTCTGATTTTTCACGGGACATGCAGCGCCTGGAACTTTGGTCCATTCCCAGCCAGAAAGTACGGAAGCTGAAAGCTTATAAGAAATTGCATTACTATGCTTGCATTGCTCCATGAACTCACTCAGGATATACCAATGCATATGAGACATTCCACATAAACAGTGATTGCAACAATGGAAGAGGTTACTACAAAATATTACCATTTTACCCCCATTACATCCAAAAGAAATGACCAAAATGATTAAATTTAAATTCAAAAATTCATCTCTTTTTTAGCCAACAAGATATCTTAAAAAAAGTACTTAAATCATACAAAGAATTGACTAGAAGATCTTTCTTTCATTTCCAAAGAGAAATTGTTCAATGAGCAAAAACAATGCAACAATAAAACAGTACACATGATTTTTCCTGAAACTATGCACACCCCTAAAACAAAAACAAAAAAAGGAAACATGAGAAACGGTATGCATACAATGTCTACCACGACCACCCATCCCCCAAAAGAAAAAGATAAAGAGACCAGGCAGAATACCTTGACCACCTATCTTTATCCTCTATCAACTTTCCCAGTTTGGCCCTGCGTTCTTCAACAAAACGCCGGCAGATTTGTTCAACGTTTGTGAAATAAACTCTAACAAGTTCCCTCCGATACTGACAGTCAAGACAACGGAATGGCCGGTCTGCCCTCTCCCTGCAAACCACAGTTGAAAGATTTATAAAGGAATGAATAACATGTTCAAATATACTCAAGGTCATCAGATCCATCCAAACAAATAGACCAACACAACAGTAAATTACATGTAAACAAGTTTCTATATAAAAAGCAGAATTTTACCTGAAACTTAATAATAATAACTAATATTGACTTTGCTCCACATAATTAGTTTGTTTCTAAGTAATGAAAAAACATCTAACCGGATATAAATAAGCCTCTGCACTCAGAAGCTGAGTCCTCTCAAATCTCACTCAAATTCAAGAAAATGCAATAAGAAATTTAAGAAGAAAATCATACGAAAGGTGAAGTCCTATAAGAAACTGTAAAAAGAACAGCACAAGTTAACCAAAACAAGCTAAAAATGAAGATGAAACCAATTGCAATCTCCCAAAACTCTACAGATGCTTCGTAATGTATTCTACCTTCTAGTTTAAACATATAAGATATTAGCCAATTCGCGCTTTACTAGCAGAGTAGAATGAAATTGCACACTGGTATGCCATTAAAACATTTGACATTACTGGTCCATCGTTATTCCTGAGAAAAGATAATTCAAGGTGCTGTATAAACAGTACCTAATAACTTGAACTTGAGCTTTAATTATCAAAGTATCGGCATCAATAAACCCATCCAATAACTTTGACAGCTCCATAAATTTCTTCCAACCCCAGTCATGCTCCTTCTTCCAGAACCGGTGTAATGTATCTTCAGGTTTTAAAAAACTATGTCAAGGTTGCTTTTTTAATGATGTCATGACGATGTTGATGATGCTAGTAAAGTAGTACGGTAGCACCAGTAATAATAATATTAATACCAGAATATTTAGATTTCTTAGGATCCTTATTCACCACAGCAATAGTGAACTGAGCAAAGTGACTCCACCCTGTTCATAACATCAATTATCATGTGACAAGCTACATAACAACGTACTGATGTCATCCAATCATCAACAATTCAATGTTTCATACCTGGAAGAAGCTTGTCATGATTTGCAACACAAAGAAACAAGGAGAGGTGATTGCAGACATCACAGCCTTGTGGGTATATCAAAATGTACCTATCAAAAACATTAATAATTCATTCGATCATAAGCAGAACATATGAACTTGACATATTACATTTTTCCCCAAACCATCACAAGAAAGACGTAGCAACCTATAAAATAGAGGACGGGCTTAAAGAAATAGTAGATGTAAGAAAAAAAATCGACGGTTGATCAAAAAATGACCAAAAAATATCAATGTTTCGAAGTTTTCATGAACAAAATGACCAAAAATATACTAGGGTAACCCCATGCAATCGAATCGTTAATTTGTAGTTTAATGCTTCATAAACAGAAGACGCATTACCATGGTATAAAGAACAAACCAATAATCATATCTCCAGACCCTCTGGAAACACATTAAGATAAACGAGTTTGAGAATAAACAAAAGACAAATATATAAACAAATATATGGGATGGCACCACGCAGAATGCAGAAGCAATGTGTTAAAGTGCACCTTTTCAGAATGCAGAAACAAATATATGGGATGACTTAAGAATACAAAATTCAGAAAATTGCAATTCTATAAAGGGCACCTTTTCAGGAATTTTACATGTTCATCCAGAAAGGGTTAGGATCCTCATCATACGACCACAACTTTCAACCTAATGTCCAAATTGATGACATAAATATATGTACATTGAACAAGCAAGCAAATCAAATTTAACAAAAATACAACATATAGACATTAAATCTTTGAACTACTTAGTGGAATATTTGTAGAAAGAAGACCAAGAAGATGAATCTAGATAAAGACATACCATCTATAGCCCCCAGCCTCAAATGTATCACTCCGAAGCTCTCTTTTGTTTATTTGCGAGAATTTGTGAATCTTCCACGTATGTTTTCCATATAAATCAGATGGTTTTTGCCCTGCAACACAATAAGAGCTTTTACTGCATATGACAGATATACTGCATTTTCCTAACTATAAATGCAGAAAAAAATTAAATACCCAAAAAATACATAGATAATTGATCAACATGCAGCACTTTTAAGTCCAAAAGACCGTCATGCATCTTTCGGAAGTGGTTTGTGCAGTTCAACTTTTAAGAAACACACAATATTTCAAACAGAAAAAGATTAAAAGATTACCAACTTAGACCATTGGCTCATGCAGAATTTAAATGAAAGGACAAGTAACTACAAGAATCAATACCCAACTTTTCAGGCCAACAAAAATGTATCATACTACCCTACCACGGGGGAGTTAAAAAGGCTGGATACCGACATATAGCCAGTTTAAACTTGACTAACATAACTCGGTATTTTTCTACATTGAAGTGGCAATCTTTCTTTTTGTAACATAAGCAAAACATGATGCTACACTATTTTTTAAATCATTAAAAATTTTCAAACAAATAAATTTTCTTTAATTGACTGATTGTGCAAAAATAATTAAAGGAAAGTTCAGAAGGAACCAAATAAAAAATACTGAGAATATTATCCACTAATCATTTATATATGGCATCATCCCTCTCCATAAGCACATAGCTTCCAAAATTTTAGGTATGCTTTCAGTACATGCATTAGATCAAGCTTAAAGGACTGGTATCTTAACAAACATATAGCTTATCAGAAAACAACAGGAAGGAAAATCAAAACCACTGACTTTGGAAATTTTACAGCACCCCAACTCCAGTGAAGAAGGAAAATAAAACTAAAATAAGCCAAACGAGATACACTAGATTTGCTGTGATAACAGCATTATCCTGGTATGGAAATTTACAATAAAAGGGATCCCTATCGAAGGATTTACATGATCAATCATAAGACAATAAACACCAGCCGAACCCATTGGAGAATCATCAAAATTTGGTAAATATTTGCTAGCAAGCACAACATATAATATGGGTAGAAAGGCAGGCAAATTTTGATTTGAGTACTGAGAAATCTTATCAAGAATTCTAGATTCTTCTCATAAAACTCTTTTGTGAGTCAAAAAGGTTAGTAAACAAAAAATGCCGTATCTTGCACAAAAAGCTTACCATAATTTTCATATTCTTCCTGCTTTTCTTGTTCACCTTTGCCTTTTCTATCATTCTACACTTTTTCTCAATCATATATTTCATGGACTATAATATATTAACACATGTATTCCATTAGACTCAAGCTAGACTTCCAAACTTAACACAGTATAGATAGATACCGAACAAATCATGCTTAACGTGCAAAGTATTAGCTATCAAGATCACACAACAAAACTAATGCATATTTCAACTCAACAAGTAATCCATTAGAAAAATAAATAAATAAATAACATGTGTAAGGAAACAAAAAAAGGCACCTCCATCATCATCAATGTCCCAATAAGGAGGCGAAGTAGATGGACTCCCATTTTCGACTTGATCCAAAGATCTCCATTCAGCTATTGCTTCCCCGGATTGAATTCTCAGCTGCTGTTGTTGTCCACTTGAAACTCCTCCAGATGACTTTCCAACTCCAGACTCTTCTGTTGCAACTCTAGCCATGCCTCCTCACTCCCTTAACTCCTACTGCCACTTTCTCTAATTTACCTGACTCCATAAAAGCTACACCCTTTTATTCACATTTCCATGAGAATATAAAATAATTCATTTCCTTGTTCATGTCTTGAAAACAGAAATGCCAAGCTTAATGTGCAAAACATATATTCAGAAAAGCTTGCATTCTTTGACACTGGAATATCAGAAGTTTCTAAGCTCGCACATCAAAAAAGAAATAACAATCTAACAGATAAAGTAGCAAAGCTACAATAGCAACTAATTAAATATTGAATCCAACAACAACCCTCAAACAAATGTTCTATATTCAATAAGCCACATCAGAAAACCCAAATTCCAAAACCCTCATTCCTAAAATCCGAAATTAAACCAAGAATATCTGACATCTTTCAGAATAGGCTTCCTTTGAATGAGAAATAATCTATATGTTTTAAGATACATCCATAATTAGTCCGAGATGAACTGAATAAAACACAATGAAATTACAAAGCATGGCAGAAAACAAGAAAATCCAATAACCCTGTCAAGTCGGGCAATCCCTCATTTATAAAATCAGAAACTGAACCAGAAAAAAAAAAAATGAAAAATGAATCAATAACCCAGTAAACATACAATCAAAAATAGAAATGAAATTGGTGCATCTCAGATCAGCGAACAGACCTTATGAGAAAAAATGAAAGTAACTTTGTTGGAGTAATCGATAGAGATTAGAGAAAGACAAGCGGAGGAAATGATATACAGCAAGATTTATTAATTCAATTTTACATAAATAAGTATATAAATTCAATTTTCAAATCGGGTTTTATTTGCAAGAGCATTTAACAAAGAAAAAGAAATTATAATCCCTCTTATATATAATTCCGAATGTGTTCGAGCTAAGTGCATCTCCATTCTTCAGTGCCTCAACGCCAATATTAAAATTTTTACACATCTATATATATAATTACTAGCTAATAACATTTAATAAAACCTATTTAATTTGTACCTATGTGGCAATTTAACAATTTTCCCTCCAAAAACCGTTACATTTTGATGTATTTAATCTTTCATTTAATCATTAACTAATTAATACTCATCACTTCAAAATTAGAAAAATCATTTTAAATTTTTGATTAATGACAGTTGACCATATAATGTGTTGACCGTATAATGTGATTAGATGTTATTATTGTTGTTACATTTTTTTAAAAAAAAAATAAAAAATATATTTGAAATTACTAAATAAATAATAAATAATTCACAAATAAAAGACGTACCAAAATATACATTACATCCAATCAGATAAACGCAATTTAAAAAAAAAAATATTCCAACTCTTTTAATTGTAAATTTGGTCTGCAAAAAAGTGAAAGAAAAATAATTAATCATTATACGCATACAGACTCACAATAATTTATTTATATCTGTGCAAATGCACAGGTCGAATACTAGTACTAGTAAACAATTGGACTATGAATGCTAGCAAAATAATTAATAAAACTCTTTTTGTTTTCTCGTATTTTTTCGTTACTTTTACATAAATCATAATTATATTTTATATTTATTTTATTGTATAATTGCTACTATTAACTATTAATGAAGGCACATTAAATGTTATAGTATTTTAAAGCTTTTCAATTTATATATTTAAAATATTTATATTTTTTCACTTCATTAAGCAAGTTTTTTTTATTAAAATTAGTTAATTATTTTTTATGGCATAACCAAACTCTTTAAAGTTTTGTACACAATTCTATAATAATAATTTCAACATTTTTTTTTATCCAATTAATTGTCATAATCAACAAAGATTGCATAAATTTAAAGATTAATAAGTTAGTTAAGTAGTTTTATATTTATATCAACATTTTAGTAATGATAAAATTTATAAATGTGATATGCTCATTATCTAATTTATGATTTTTAAATTGTACATAAAACACACACACACACATACATATATATATATTTATATAGGAGAATGCTACCATCCCGTTACGGGATGATTCCGTTGTGTTTTGTAGCCATAGATATACATGTAATCTACTGATGGGTAGTTAATCCAACGGTTAAAAACACAACGGAGCCATCCCGTAACGGGATGGTAGCATTCTCCATATATATAAACTAGTACAACACCTGTGTATTACACGGGTACTTGTTAAAAAATTATTCTTAAATTTNGTACAGGATAGAATACTAGTTCATTTAAAAGCACTATTCACATACTAAATTATCTTTTTCATATGGCGGTAAATAATAATAATTGGACTGTTAATTCATATGAAAGCACAGTTCACATATTAAATAATAATTGTTCATTACCATTTCCAATGCATACTTTCATTCATGCATATATTTATTTTTAAAATAAACAAAATAAGATAATAAAGTAGTTTTCAGATGATTAATAAACAAAACAAAATGATAAATTAATTCATAAAAGACCAACTAAATTCATTGGATAAAACATATCAACATTCCAACTTAAATATATATATATAATAAAATTAAATAAATAATAAAATTGATAAATCATATGTAACACTTATTTTTTTTCTTAATGAAATAATTTCAAAATAAAACATATCAATACACCAACAAAAGAATATATTAAAACCAAATAAATAAAAATTTGAGAAAATGTGTAACACCTAATTTTGGGAAAAAGTATTAAAATATCAGTTACGACTTACGATTAATGGTTTCGGATTAAAAAAATAAGCTTTTATCTCCAATAAAATAAATAATAAAGTAGTTTAGTTTTTTCAAATGTTGAAAGCGTAATAACTAAAAAAATAATAATTTTAGTTGCAACATACGATTAATTATTTCGAATTTAAAAAAAATAGTTTGCATCTACAAAAATAAAATAAATAATATATGCAGCGACTTTTTCCTCATTTTAGTCATTTTTCCATGATATTTGATGATGCTTCTGTCTAGCTACATTTCTAAATTTAAACAGTGGGGTTAACGATGTTATGGTCATGTATCATAACATGGCCTACAAAATAGCCCACTGGAGGAAATAATATAGAGACAAGGTCTGCCCAAACTAGTGAGTATCTCGTGTGATGCACGACGGGCTTGTTTTTTAAACCCTTTTTATAAAACCTTATCTTAACAATATATTAGCTTGCTAACCGTTTATATTAATAAATAATATTTTAACATCAATATTTTTCATGTATTATTTCTTTTATGGATGATGAGTTTTATATATCACTTAGCGTGTGATGATGTATTTATCATGATGTTTGATATGATGATATTCTTTTGAAGGTCGAATCTAGATGTATTTTGGCGGGGGAGGCTGTGCCCTCTGTCTTATTTTCGTTTTTTAGTTTATTGTTGGTATGTGTCTCTGTTTTTTCTGTTGTTTATTGTGTTTTTGGTATGGGCCGTTTGGCCTCTGTGAGCCCGAGTGTCACCTTATTATCCCATTGGGATCCGACACTCAGGTATTACTCTGTTGGGGTCTTTTTAGTTGTTAGTTGTTTTCGTTGCGAGCTTTATTCTAGCGTTGCTAGTCGGGACTCTAGGCGGTCTTCTGACCTGTCCTCCCACTTTTTTCAGCTGTTGGTTGCTGTGTATTTGCACATTTGTGCATTTTGATTTATAATATAATCTATCGTTCTGGGAAAAAAAAGAAGTTGAATCATTATGTTCAATTGATTAGGTATCATAGATTTAAACTAAAATAAGTTAGAATATATCCCAAAAGTAGTGAACAAAAAAAAATCCAAAAGTTATTTTGATTTCTTTATTTTTCACTATATAAAGCAATTCCAAATCATTCAACCTAAATTAATTTTCGAAATGCTAGTATTTGTAAAAATAGGATTTAAATGCAAATATGAGTTATTATTTATCGTAATGAAATCCCAACAACTATATGTTGCCTAGAGAAAATCAATAAGCAAAAAGTCAAACATAAATAAAAGCACCCATCCTGTAGAAATAATGGAAATGCTCGCTTATAGTGAATGTGTTCGGTTTTTTCATGAAGTATGATTCGATATGTGGCTATAGTGGACTTATGGATGTCCATGTCGCTCTTGACTTGATAATTTTTTAGGGCATAACTTCACCCTCTTGTAGCTCATCGATGAACTTGGGTATGTTAACCGGCCTTATGATGCAAGTTATTTGCCCACCCTAAAAAAATAAATCAACTTTCATCATAATGCATAATAAAATAAATGCGGAGAAAGATCATAAAAAAAAAAAAAAAAAAAAATAGGTGTAATGTTGACAAACCTCAAAATCATGAAAAATTATCTCTACAACATTCTTGTATGAGAAGACCTCAGAAGTTCTTTGAAACATACAGATAATGCGTAGCTTAATCAAAGGTCTACTTGACCTCTTGATCTCCTTGATAAGACCCCAAGACTTCGTCATTGGAATGAATAATAATAAGAATCATGTTTTAATGCAAATGAATGTGTAAATCATTTCGCTCCCAATTCCATTCGTATCATGGTAGCCTTTATCATGATATTTAAAATAAAATTTCGCGAGTTCTCGCCCGAACTTTTCTTTTACTGTTGTGGTTATAAATTCATAAAAGGGGCTCACTGTTTAGACCATCGCAGTGGTGCTCTATTTTTAGATGATTTGTCCTGGAACGTGACAGAGTGGAATTATAAGTATTTCTTTATTCGACCTCCCTCTGGGTATTATTTCCTTAACAACACCTAGTTAACGGAGAAGGTTAACCAGCGCAGTAAGCCGCGATCTACTCAATTCACGGAATTAGTGAAAATTTTGAAGAAGCACACTTAGAGTGCTCGTTGTTTGTCCCATTTTTGTTGCGTTTTTCATTATCTTTTTGTCTTTCTTTTTCCCCCATTTTAGGTTGTTTAGATGAGTTTTAGTTCATTCTGTAGTTTATTTCGTAGTTCGCTCTATTTTAGTCTTTCGTATGTTTTTTTTTTCGGACGTTTTCTAGTTTTTCGTCGTCGTTGGTGGGTGCAGGTTAGAAGTCCCGAGAGGATCGGATCTCTGGCAAAAATTGGCCGTGCAAGCATAATAAAATAGAAGGTCTTGTTGGCCACAAGCAGGAAAAAACGGAATCGAATTCTGTTTCCAAATGAGTATAAACGAGCCCGAAAAGTGAAGACGTGCACGGAAACTAGCTGCNGCCACCTCGATGCCCCACGCCGCGAAGACGCCTCGACCTAGACTGAGAATGGGCACCAAACCTCCTGCCGCGATGCGCCCGAGCCTCCCGCGCCGTGGCACATGATTTATATATATATTCAATCGGGTTCGACAGAAAAATCATCCGTCGACTCTAGAACATAAAAACCCTACCCTCTCGTCTCTTTTCTCTCGTTTTTCATCTTCCTTCCATATTTTTCATCGTAAAACACGGATTTGAACTCGGATTTCACTATTGCTTTCGGATTAAGCTTGTTTATCGTATTCAACCTTGGGATTTCATCACTCGTAAGATTTTCTTTTCATTTAATCTATGAATATGTTTGTCTTGATTGTTGATATTGTTGGTGTTGAATCGATTATGATTGGCTAAATCCTTATGCTAGGGATAGGGGATTGATATTTTGATATCGTTTGTGATTGTCGGGCTCAAGATTGTTCAATTTCATGCGAGTTGATCTTTTAAGAGATTTTTCAACTGTCAGGCTTGGGTATTGATAATTGTTGAAGGGTGACACTTCAACGTACAATTGTTTCAATTGAATTTGATATACTCGTGCTTAAAATTGGTGAATCTATTGATTAGTTAGTTAACCACTCTCTAGTCTACTTTAATCGACTCTTAGAACCGAAAGGGGAGGGGTCGGTCGAA